CAAATTACATCGAAACCGATAAGACCAGATGTATTCGATAGTGACAGCGTTAAAAATTATGTAGAAAAAAATAATTTTTTCTACACCAAAATGAACGGCAACAGGTACATTTTTGTATTCTCCTCAGTGAATCATTTTAATCACCAGTTAACTAGATTTTATCGATTAATTGCTAATGACGAACATAGAAAAGATGAGTGCTTGATTGATGTTGTCATTTTGGGATTAATTACAAGATCTTATTTGACATTCCAAATATATAATTACATTTTTTTTGTTTTAGATTTGATAAACGATTCCTCCAAAGTACAAAGATGACTAACAATAACGTAAAAACACAAGATTGACGATCATTATACAAAATGTTTGGCACTTTCTTACCGATTTAGCAGCATGAAAAGAATAATTAAGAAAATATATGTTTATACCTTCTACTCAATTATTCACAAATAAAATAAATATGTAATTTGATTTATATAGCAGAATATATTTATATATTTTTATAGCAGAATAAATACGATTATAAATTTAAATGATGCTTTTTTATTTAGAATATAGATTTAAGTATAAGAACAATTTGGAAAATGTGTATTATATTTAATTCATTAGTGCATATTTAATTAACGGTAACTAAGCAGTTGGCATTGGCAGGCCAATCGCAAACATTGAGATCTGCATTGAAATGAAGACCAGCTGGGCAATCCATCATGAAAGGATGACCCCAGTCGCAAATGTAGTACTTTGTGCAGTCGGTTTGGTGACGATGAAATACTGGAACTGGACCGTTCTCAGTTGGGCATTTCACTCCATTCTCTGGTTTTGATTGAGTAGTGCTGACTTCAGTGGTGGTTGGATGAATAGTTGTTGGTTCAGTAGATGTTTGTTTAGTGGTAGTTGGCTGAACTGTAATTGGTTTAACTGTAGTCGGTTTAGAAGTAGTTGGTCTAGATGTAGTTGGTTTATGTGGATTGTGTGGGAAATGGGGGAATTCTGGGAACTCTGGCCATTCTGGAAATTCTGGAAACTCAGGCC